CTCCCATTAACACCGTATATGGGGTTTTGGAGGAATGCATGGCTCTAGAGATATCCTCATACATTTTCTTCACCTCCTCATCGGGGTGTGCCGAGGTTGGTGCGTAAACCTGTATGACCTTCAGCGAATACCGTTTGGTGAGTCTGAGTATAAGGTATGCAACCCTCGTCGCAACACTCCCGATCTTTACAACGTTGTTAACGAGAGACTTGTGGACGATAAATCCGACACCTCCTTGGGACAGATGGTCGCCCCCCCCCGGTGATAGAGCAAGTTGCCGGATTCGAGGATTACCGTGTCCTCCCCCTCTCTTCGGACTTCGGATAATCCTATAATATGCCAGCGCAACTTGTCTATCTCTTCTTCCAGCTCCACGATCTTAAGTCCTCAGGGTGCGTGCGTTGTGCGTTTCCAAGTCGATTCGTCTAAAGTGGCAACCGAACCTCCACCGGAGATTCTTAGCACCCCCTGCCCCGCCGTTACCATGGTCGCCACCGTAGCCAGGAATAGCGGGGCAGCCGGGGACTGGGGGCCGTCTCTTCGTAACTCTCATCATGGGGGGTATATTGCCATAGTTGCCACGCTTGGCGAGCGGGTTGGCAACCGCAGTTTTTTTATTGTATTTTTGCTGTTACCAGGAAGATGCTGCTGCCCATCTCCTGCCTGTATGCCTTTGTCGCCTTTTACGACACCCACGGGAAGATATGGTGTAGTGGATATTCTTAACCGCCACTACACGGTATAACTTTCTTCCCCATCGGTTGTCTGTTATTCGAGCTTTACGGCCGGCCTATTGTCACTTCAGCTATTTATAAAGGCATAAAATATAGTAAAATAAATAATAAAGTGTGTAATGCGTGTGTGTTATTTACGTGGTAGAGCGATGCTGCAGCTATATTATGGTTGTAGCACGAATGGGTCAGCTCGACCGGGGACGAACCACGCTCTCGCAGAATACCAGCGTAAACTAGCAGCTTAACGCTGCTGTGTTTCGTATGGTGTGTGTAGAGAACCGGAGACCCTTTTTACTGGAAACGAGGCATTCCATCTTAGTCCTCACGGGTGACAACGCATCTGCATTTTGATTCTTAATCGAAGATAGATGTAGATGTCTATGGGCCACAGCAACCACTTACCATCAGGTGGACTGTGTGCTCGTTTGTCACCCTTATTCTATAAAAAAAACCATCTCACAATGGTATAAAATCAGCATTTTTTTATTGGATAGGGTTACAAACGAGCACACAGTCCACCTGATGGTAAGTGGTTGCTGTGACCCATAGACATCCACATTCATCCTCGTTTGCGAATCAAAACGCAGATGCGTTGTCACCCGTGAGGACTAAGATGTAATGCCTCGTTTCCAGTAAAAAGGTCCTCCGGTTCTCTACACTCACCATAGGAAACACAGCAGGGTTAAACTGCTATTTTACATGTTATTCCGTGAGAGCGTGGCCCTTCCGCGGTCGAGCCGACCCATTCGTGCTACAACTATATCTAATAAATATAGCTGTAGCATGGCTCTACCATGTAAAAAAAAAATTGACGTTTAAAATTTATGTATTTTTAGAAGCAACTTTGCAATTATTTTCTATTGAGTTAATTTTTGTGGAATCGTGTTTTGCAAACCGCCACCTGAAATACGTACAATTTTTTTTTTCGATAATGACGTGAAATTACAAAACCATCCCCATGCATTTCAATGTGGCTCTATTCAGCCTCTTAATATGAACATACCTCGGATTTCAGAGATAATGGAATATATAATATTATATTATTACTGTTCCGTGTGAGGCAACATTTATATTTATATAAATCTTCTCATCATATTTTTATGGGAATTATTTATAAGGACCTATAAGATAAATATGTACAATATGGGTATTGCGCAAGGCATTCTACATGCCCCCACCTCGGATATTGCATTGAGTATGTGCAGATTAATAATAAATGTATAGATTTTAAATTAGTTATAATGGGATTGACATATTAACAAATAAAAATCCCTAAATAAATAAAGAGAAAAAAAAATATTTTTATGGTTGGTTAGAAAAATTATATCTAAATGCAAACTTTAACAGGGTAAATTTTTTTTTTACTATTTTTACCCAGCAAGTAGTAAAGCAACTACAATCCCATCGGTAAGTGGTTATGTAGTGAATTGCACTGAGTTAACAAAAACCTATTCACTCTTGCCTAATAGTACTAGGTAAGTATTATTTGCGACCTATTTGTGTGTGTGTGTGTGTGTGTGTGCGCGTGCGTGCTGGCGCACGTGTGCGTGTGTGTGTGTGTGTGTGTGTATGTGTGAAGAAAAGCGTATGAGAATACGTGAAGAGGAATAAAGGTTGAGTACTAATTCGCTTACCTGTACGAGGTTGCCACTCGAGGACCTTTCTTCCTATTTTTTATATGTCTTCCAAGTTATATAGCTAGCCCATTGCCATTTCACTGTAATATTCCGTTGAGCTATGTCAGTTACTCTGGTTCTAATGCAAATACCTTCATTTCTAACTTTATCACGTAGAGAAACCCCTCTCCAATTTAAAATTTTTACATTTTTTAGATGATAGTTTGTCTAACAAAAAAAAAAACCATAAACCCAAGAATGTCTTTATATAGTTATTTATACTTAGGTAAGCACCATTCTTTTATTTATTTAAATTTTTTGATTTAATTTGATAACAGTGTACCTAAATGTAAGTATCTGTATCTTTATTTCTCTCCCCAATAATATTTTATAAAGTCATACTTATAAAAACAGCGTTTTATTGTAATACATAATTATAAAATTCATTATCAACTAATTAATAAAAATATGCAACAATAAAATTACATAGGTATTAAAAACTATCGCAATCTAAGTAACGAGAGCATGTTCGTCGTTCCACATCTAAATTATATAAAAATGCATTTTTCAATTTCACTAATCAACGTCGCCGCAAAAATTTCTTCTTCTTTGGGCACTTTAAAAATTCATTTATTTAGAAAATAATATTTACAGTTACCAGTGTACAGATATTAACTAAATTAAGTATTTCTAGTCATAAAAATATTTATAATTGAGTATAAACTTTTAAAAAACTAATATATATTTGAACGAAGTCGCTCCAACACCGACGTGCGGTCCACCCTCGACGATGTCCGAAAACGGACTGTTCCCTATATATAATGTACTCTGTGACGGACTGTGACAGAGCTTACTTGGCGACGGAGCATGCGCGCTCGCGTAAATATATTCAATTTCAGGGAAAAATTATATATTCTCTTATAAAACGGGTAATAAAAATAAAACTCTCAATTAAAAATATTAATATTTTTAAGACCTTTTTTTTAGTGTAAGAACTATTTAAAAAGCTTGTGCCGTTTTGGAGAAATTTTGCAAAATATGACAAAGATAGATACTCTTTGGGGATTTTTTTTCTAATAAGGGGTTGACAAAAATACAATTTTATTAAATTAAAAACATTTACCAAATCTTCTTCTGTTACTCTGTATTTTTTCTTTGTGGATTAAATGAACAGTTATTGAGATTTTTTTACTTAAATATCCTAGATTTAGGCATTTCAACCACTGTTAAGGCCTTAAATAATAGTTTATCATTATCTAGAGTATTATATTAATATACAACACAATGCGTCAGTGGTTTGATTTTTAATTTTTTGCACTTTATAACTCCTTTTTTTTAAAAAAAATCGGTTTTTACATATATTTATAGTTTGGTTTATTCATTTCTAATGTAATTAATATAAAATATAACTAATAATACAGAAAGAAACCTTAAAGATTACATTTTCCTAAGAAATTATCGTCTCCGCTATGAAATCTGTCAAATATTTTACCTCACTGTAAAGTGGCGCCGCCCTGGTGGCTAAAAAAAGTCGTGGTCCTCATTGAGGGAGGGCGAGAGGTACTCAAACTAGGTAACAGTTACAGCCTACTACGTCCCAGTCCTCGGCACAGGCCTCCTCTCATTTCTGAGAAAGTTTTAGGGTTAGGAAAAGTCCGTCGCGCTGCCCCAATACGTGTCGGTGGACTTCACATGTCCTTGAAACATTGCAACCACGGCATCATTTTATTTTACTACGCGAATCTTATGAAATTAATTTTTAACGTCTTTAATAAAATGGATTGCCGCAAAGCAACACCTAATTCTGTTAATTATCCTTAAGGCAACTTTAGAACTATACGCCTTATGTATGTACAGATGTAACTGTCTTTAAGTAACCTAAGTACGAAACCCTATTAGAGAAACGTTATATAAAGACTCGAGGGAACATTTTGACAATTTCGTCATAACATTCACAATTAGCGGTTACAACTTGCAATGCATGAACGAAAAATAATCATCATAAATTATTAAAAATTAAAAATTTTATACAACCGACTCCAATATAAATTATTAAGAATAACTTAAATACTCTTAGTCAGACCTTGATCAAATTTATATGGGACCACATGTGAAGCACCAGCTTTCAAATAAAAAAAGAATCATCGAAATCGGTTCACCCAGAAAAAAGTCATGAGGTAACACACGATGATCAAGGTCTGACTAATACTTTTTAAGTTATTCTTAATAATTTATATTGAAGTCAGTTGTACAAAATTTTTAATTTATTTATAATGAAATCGTTAGGCCAATTTTTAATTATTTATATTTCGACAGAAGGAATGAAACGGGACGAATAGCGGCGTCTCACTTCAAACTACTAAAAAATAAATAACCACAGTTGCCAGCCCGTCTGCTAAACACAAGTCAAATATCCTATAATTAATGGGGAGGCCTACGTTCAACAAGGAACTTCTGAAATTAATCACGATAAAATCTGTAAAATTAGTTTTGTTCAAAACGGACGGATGCATATTGAGAGTTGGCCCTTAACGCATTTTTTTATAGAATACGGGTGACAAACCATCACACAGTCCACCTGATGGTAAGTGGATACCGTGGCCCATAGACATTTACAGATTTACCAAAGATAGATATCCTTGGTAAAGAATCAAAATGCAGATGTGTTTTCACCCCTGGAGGACCAAGATGGAATGCTATATTTCTTGTAAAACTTTCCAGTTTGGGCAGAAAAAAGCATCCAGAATTGAGCAGCTATTTTACGCTGGTATTCTGTGAGAGCGTGATTCTACCCGGGAGCTGGCTCTACCACATAGAAAGGCCTCCCTTGGCCTTTGTTTTATTTGCTTCTATAATTGTCGCGTAACTTCGTAGATCAAGTACATCATTATAATTTGAAAACTTGTATACTATTTATTCGAGTGTTAATTTAAGTAAATTGTTTATGTTTGCAATATGGCCGCAAACGAATGTAATCAAATATCAATCGTATTTCAATACAGTAAAAGTTGTTTGTTTATTTTTCTATAACCTTTACTTTTTAAGTGTTTCTAAATTGAACATCTATTTTCACCTGTTTAGAACAATAATGTATGTAATCAGACAAAAATATGTTTAAAGCCAATTAAAATGTAAAGCCACAGTACATATTAATTACAAACGCTCATCGTATGAACTTAGCTGGGAGTCGATATCACAGTGCGTTCACAATATAAACGGCTTACGTGATAGAGTCCAGTTACAGCTGTGTTATAGCCACAGGAAAAAAGGTTGGTTCAACCGGAATAAGACCACTGTATAGTTGTTAAAATTGTCACTAGAGGTCATTGTAATAAGATATTAAATGTTAAGATTATTAATTTATAATAATATAAGGTGAAGCGATTAAGTATTGGTTGTGAAAAAATTGTAAGTTGCAGCGATTAATTACTAATTTCTAATATTATAAGGCGCAGAGATGTAGTGTTGGCAACATACTGGTACCTTCAGTCACGTACCGTTGAAATAAGAGAAAGTTAGAGGGTAAATGATCAACTACATTTGCACAGAATTCATTTATTCATTAATAATTATAATTCTTAATGAATTAAAGTAATATAATAATGTATTAAAATAATGTAATAAAATATAATTGTAATTATGATTATTATTATAATTACATTATAATTATGATTATAATTATAATTACAGCCTATCACTGTCCACAGCTGAACATGGCTAATGTTGTATCCCAAAGATCAGTGTTTCCCAAACATTGTTTTGCCATGGCCCGGTAATTTTCATACTGGACCTTCGTGACCCACTTAATACTTTTAAACCCAAGCTGGTTCCATTAAGTAAAATAATACAAATTTATCAATAGTAAAAATGTTTTAAAAATGAATGTAAAGGATGCGTCGATCGATAGTAGGTATTATTTTTAAAACAAGGCGGGAATGTTGTGACCCGGTATTTTATTTTGATGGCCCTGTACCGGGTCTGCATAGATTGCTCCATAAGGGCTATATGTATAGTTGCCGTGCTTGGCAAAAGGTTTGACAACCGCAGTTTCATTTTATTCTCTAGTTGTTATAAGGAAGGCGCAGCTGCCCATCTCCTAGTCTGTTTCCCTCTGTCACCTCTTACGACACCCACATGAGAACAAAACTTCATTAAAAATCAATAAACTTCCAAAAATAAATCCGCCATTTTTAAACCGTTATGAAATTAAAATGTAATATTAAAGTCGATTTTCCGTCTTCTATTGTATGCGCCAATGCTATATGTAACAATATATTGTTAGCGCTAGCCTAGTTTTAACAAAGTTTGTTATATCTGAGCGTTTTTTTTTTAATAACTGGAATAAACTGGAACGGTTGGTATCGAATAGAACGTAGAGCTGTGCTGGTATCGCGTCATATCTGGTATAAGAAAGAAAGGTGTTTTTAATTTCCGTACAACGATGTTTTAGCACCGAAAAGTTAATAAAAGTGAAAGTAAATTTTGAAAAATGCATTTTAGAAGTGGAAACTTCTTTAGCTATGTTGTGATTTGAAAATCAATAAAACGAAAAATGAGACCTAAGCTAACAGACGGACAGAGACAGGATATCAGGGTTAGATGATGGGGATCTCTCAAAGGGGTAGTCAAGGAGACTCGCAAGACTGGTCCGAGTTTCTGACGGCTAAAGATATCTTGACCGCAGAGAGAGCGAGGTCTCACCAGGAGTCGGTAATAACGAAAACGTCGTCCAACATTGAAAGAGTTTTATTAACAAAACTTTACAATTTATACAATTTACATTGAGGTTAATAAAATCACAATTTTGGGTTATATTCTAAGATTATTAAAATAAATAAGATATATTTAAAAAAAGGCCAGGTCAAGAGTACCCTAAACCGTAGAGCATGTATGAAGGGAATAATGAAAGTGGACGAAGCGAAACAAGTATGTAAGGATCGTAGCAAGTGGAAAGAAGTGGTCTCTGCCTACCCCTACGGGAAAGAGAAAGATTATATGTATTATTCAGTAAACCTTACATAATCCCGTCGCTGTAGAAATCTTAGGATTTTTGATCAAAAAACTGCGACAAGTAGTTTTGACAGTCATTTATTGATGACTATCTAAAGTTAGGACTATAATATGGTGGATGCATTAACACTTCCCAACCAAGCTCTCTCAGTTTTTTCTTGAGTGACCAAAGATGTGTGTGGTCTGGCGTCATCATAATGAAAGACCACTCCTTTTCTGTTGATCAATTCCCGCCGTTTTTTCTCAATTTCTTACTTGAATCTCATTAGTTGTTGGAAGTAGTGATCCGAATCAATGCTTTTATCTGGCGGTAAAACTCATAATAAACGATGCCCTTTTAATCCCACCACACACACAGCATATATTATTATTATATTATCGTAACAGAGCTGCAGAGAGACTTTACTAAGTATTTAAACGCATTGCAATTAAAATATTATTTGATATTTCTCCAAATAGAACTGGAATAAATATTATTTTTTCTTTTGTGCAATCATATAAATTAAAAACAATATATTTTTCTTGTTTCGCAGTACTAAAATAAAATACACTTTAGAATCTATCTCTAAGTTATTAAAAAAAGCTTTTAAATGATATTGTTTTTTTTTAAATAACAATCTAAAATAGGTCTAGCGTCTGTAAAGATACGGCCTACTTTAACTGTATGATGTCAACGATACGACCTAGCTTCGCTTAGGTGTTAAGATTTTTTCTACTGCTTCATCTAGAGGTCGCGGACACGGTTACAGAGCATTATGTCCCGGATTCGTCGGTTATTGGATTTGTCTTTCACTGAATCCCCAGTAGCAGCCACGAAAATAGTCACGAAATATGTGGTAGAGCCATATTAGTAGTATAGTTGTAGCACGAATGGGTCGGCTCGACCGGGGAAGGACCACGCTCTCATAGAATACCAGCGTAAAATAGCAGCTTAACGCCGTTCTGTTTCGTGTGGTGAGTGTAGAGAACCGGAGACCCTTTTTACTGGAAACGAGGCATTCCACCTTTGTCCTCAGGGCTAACAACACATATATGAATTTTGATTCTGATAAATGTAGATATCTATGGGCCATAGCATCCATTTACCATGCTGGACTGTGTGGTCGCTTGTCACCCTTATTCTAAAAAATAATATGGAAAATGTCAGAGAAATCTGTAGCTTTCGATTGGTTTTTTTAATTGATGGTACAACGGTGCAGTGATGGTGTAAATTCTTACACCGCCACTACATGGTTATGCTCATCGTATTGTGGATATTCATCTGTAGCGGGTGGAAGGAAAACGGGAGATCTCCCGCCGGGCAAGGTGTTCTGCCCGGGGAGCGGCCAACGCTCCGGTTGGTAGTTCGGAGCTATTTTATATATGCTGCTTTTAATTTCGGAACTTTGATAGCGCGATTTAGGTTTCGATGTGTTTCGCTTGTGGCGCGACGACAGCGCCGCCACATCACTCCCCTGCTCAGACCGGAGGTCGATAGTGCAGTCCGATTGCCGGTGCGTCCTTAATGCCGGTGGGGAATGCATGCTGTGTGCGTAAGCGCAAGTGACGCCGGTGCGAATGATATGCCGGTGTGTAATGAAAGATGAGCCGGAGCAAGTGCCAGGTATTGCCTTGTAGTCTGCGGTGAGTCGAGAAGAAGGCAAGTAATCTGCGAGAGTGCCGTGAAGCAGAGACGAGCAGTAAGACTCAGAGCCGTGCCCAACACTGTAGCGCAGAGAGTAGCTTGAAGGAACAGGAAGCATTATTATTTCAGTGCTGCGATGAACCTTTCTAAAGCTAGATGGCTTGCAGAATGTGAAGACCACAGGCAATATCTGCTCGGGAGCGAATGAATGGGATGGGGTACTTGAGGATGATGACGAAGGTTTGAAGTTGTAGTCTCCGAAGGTTGTTGGTTGCGTGTTCATATCACGTCGGGATCACCACTGTAGCGGGTGGAAGGAAAAGGGGAGATCTCCCGCCGGGCAAGGTGTTCTGCCCGGGGAGCAGCCAACGCTCCGGTTGGTAGTTCGGAGCTATTTTATATATGCTGCTTTTAATTTCGGAACTTTGATAGCGCGATTTAGGTTTCGATGTGTTTCGCTTGGGGCGCGACAACAGCGCCGCCACACATCTACTACTCTAAATCATCCCGTGGGTGTTGTAAGCGACGACAGAGGGATTTTTTTGTAGAAGAGGGGGCAAACGAGCATGTGGCTCACCTGATGGCAAGTGACTACCGCCGGCCATGAACAACCGCAACACCAGGGGAATTGGATCAGCAATTCCCCTGGTGTTGCCGGCCTTTTAGAAGTAAGCTCTTTTCTTCAAGGTCCCTAAGTCGTATCGGTAAGGAAAAATTGCCGGTGGTAAACAATTCCACAGAGAAGTTGTACGAGGAACAAAACTCTAGTAAAACGTACAGTCGTGGACCGCCAAGCATCCAGATGGTGAGGATGGTATCGTGAATTTTGACGCGGTGTGCGTTCGTGAAAACACTCACCATTTTTACGCTTATATTCCCCGGTTGAGCTACAACGATGACGATTATAAAAAGAGACCTTAGAGAATAAATCAATACAACGTTTTATCATTTGTAATTTCACAAATATAGAGCCTATTTGGGAACAGTAACATTCACACGGAACAGCAGAGTTATTCCAAGAATATTTTAATGGTGTTAGGTACATGTTTCGTCGCTGGTATTACTACCGTCAGTGTCAATTTCAAACTCAATGTCAGAAATATTGTTACGTGATTATATT